GCCGACCCTCGTGTGCACGCGTGTGCGAGCACACGCGACTCCGCGGCACGCGGAATTTCCCAACGCTTCAAATCGATTCATGATCCTTTTCTTTTTTGGCAGTTTTTCTTTTACGTTCGCCTCGCCGCGCCGTACAAAGGATATTTTACAGGTAGAGAAGTTTGCTACTATTATAAAATATACCTAAAATACAATATCTACAGACCTAAAAGTAATTTTATCGAAATCATTCTATCAAAACAATTATATAGGACGCTCAAGCTGATTCCTAGATTGTCAAAATTTTCTCCAGCATTGCTCATCATTTAAAATAATCGTATTTTTTATTAAAGCGAATTGTAGTATTTAATAATAATATGCAAATTTTTGAAAATATGTTTTTTTAGTTTTGTAAACGTGCCGATTTGATTTGTCGGACTTGAAACGCAATTACAAACTGGAATTGAAATATTAATACCTTAAATTAGATTAATCATCAATTTTTGCAAATTTTTACAAATTTATATTTGTATTATTTCATATTAGTGTTATTAAACAGTAACATCCGCTTTGACTGAAAATAGAATTATTTCTTTTAATCAATTTATTCTCGTCGGTCTTTCTAAATTATAATTGCTCATCGTGCTTGAATTTTCTTACATAATTATTTTAATGGTCCAATAAAGTTATTTTTAAATCTGTACTTACCTAAATTTTTAGATATTTTAGGAAAGTATTTTTATACTTTCTGTATATTATTTGAACAAATGTACGATTGCATGACAGATGTTGCTTTATACATATGACGTTTATTCTTTGTTATCTTCTTTTATTCGCTGTATATAAATTTGATAATACGAGATGTTGCAAGACAATAATCATAGAGTTAATTGCAATGTGTTTGATTATTCTCTGATAAGGAAAAAAGATGCTAATTCTGTTATTGACAACCGTCACGTTGTGACGAACCATAAAGATTCTCGAACGAACGTGTAAAGCAGTTTCGGTATATCGCTTAACACTACGGTGTTATGGTTGGATTACGTCGCGCATTAATTTTCTTGTCGAGTCAGTCGAGCGTATCGGGATGTTCTGGGATGTCGCTACCCGTATCATTAAAGTCGCGAATAAATTGCTCGCTGTATACGGATCACACGATGGTTTACCGAGTATCGCTGAACACCGTTCTTCAACCACCCTTTAAACTCGCAATAATGGTCATCCTGGTATTAATCGTGCTTAGGATCGACGTAGTTCCTACGCTCGGCACATCACGTGGCTGAGAGGCAAACTTAGAACGGAAGGGATCGATATACACGCCGTTATTTTGCATATAAACCGTGCGAGAAGGTTTCAAGCTAACTAGATATTCCGTAATATTTCAATAATCTTAGAATCTGGTCTTATTTGAATATTTTACTCGATAAATATTTAATCGATAGAATGTCATTACTTCTTGTAAAATTGCTGCTATAATTTTGGAATATTATTTCATCGTAAAATAAAGAAGAAAATGTTTAAATACATGACTTAGTTTATCGATTTAAAGTTTAGAGAAATATTTTATATTGTATTTAACACGTTTTTTTTTACGTGTCCCAAATGTGTCTATCCAAATTTTTGTGTTAATTTAGCATAAGAATATGTTACAAGTAATAAACATTTTGTATTTGTGTTGAAATCGAGCCTTGTTAAAATTTATATATTGAATTTTTAACATAACGTGATTATGTTATTTGAATACACTTTGTATTAAATTGAGGTTTAATATTTCTTAGTGTTAAAATAAAAAAATAACACAATTTATGAATAACTGAACAAATAAAAATAATGTAGTTTTAAAATATAAATTCTAAGACAAATGAAAAAAAGATGAATGGGTATATGTATTAATTTAATTTAACATATTAATTTTACTAAAGAAATATGCTTCCACAACGTTTCAAAATTGTATGTCAAAGTGTTACATTGTTTAATATTATAATTTTTACATTATGTTAATGTCGCATTCTAACATAAAAATTTGAGTGTCCCCTGTTTGGGACACATGAAATATGTAAAATTTAACACAAATTTTCCAGCACCTTTGTCATGCGCACATGAAAAATGGTCGCACATAAAAGGACAGAGCGTAATCCTTTCACCGACGTGGCGTTTCGAACAGCTGGATCGGCCCGTGACTCTAATGCGAGAAAGAGGAAAGAATTATCTTCCGAATTGAGGGTACCAATAAGCAATAATTGTACGTTTAGCGACCATGCCGCGTTTGCATTCGTGTCGGCACGACAAGCCGGACCGCCGCGTCGCGGTGAGCAGGGAAGCGAGGAACAAAATGACTATATCTTAATCATCTTTGGTTATTGCCTTTCTAGACCGTGTGCTCGACTTCGCTCGTGGGAACCCATCTTGCGAATGTGGAAGAGAAAACGCTGGGATCCTTTGCCGGAAATTCGCAGCACGCATATGCTCTTATCATCCGGCAATCGATATACAAAGCGTCTACAAAGATCCACTTCGACTTCAAGAACATATCCGACGCATACAGTAGAAAAGCGGTAGAGCAATTTTCATGTTGTTTGATTGTGTAACGAAAGTTTCTGGCGCCTGTCCAAGACACTTCGATGTACGCGCCCTTTAATCGTACACGCGACCTGAGATATGAGAAAATTACGTGAAAAATATGAACACGCGTCAAATTTCGTGTTTGGGGGCGAACCGTGACGGAAAGTGATGCGTACGTGTGAGAAATCGTGTCTACATGATCCGCACGTAAAAGCATTATCGACGCCCATACCCGCAGGGTGAAACTGTCATTGATCGAGTGCGGGATCGACTCAAAAGACACCCGGTGAGGCGTGCCAAGGATAAGCTCGTTTATCGTGCCATTTCCTTGTTAAGTCTCTAAAACCGGAATTTTTTACTTATAAAAAATAATTACAGAAGCTGTACATGAAAAGCATGGATTAAATCATTGAGACTTAGTGGACATCTTGATACGTAACTTTCAAGTTCCATGGTGTTACAAACAATTAATTAATATAACGCTAAATACATAATCTTTTTTGATAACTAAAAAATATACACGATATATAAAATTAGAATTTTTTAAATAAATCAACATTTCGGTATCACTTCTCAATATAATTCAATAACTTTTTTATCTCGAAAGTAAACGATTTATTAAAATACTATAGAATTTATTATCATAAAATTGTGCAAATATATCTGACTTTATGTATCGATAAATACAAATATGGAAGCGATATACGAAGCTCGTCTATAATAGTACAATCTATTGCAACGACAAAGACATAAGCTTTAATATCTATAGACTGTTTACACAGATAGCATATAAAATACAGTTTATACAGTTTTTATATTGTATACACATAAATATAGATCATTATATTTTACGTATAAACGAATAACTCTGGTTATTATCCACCTGCGGCATTATGCTGCATCCATTTTGATCTTTCTATCTGCAGCAATGGATGGCGCCACCAACTGTTTTAAATCGGTAGAAGTAAAATCTAACAATAAGCATTCTCTCATTTGCAAGCTATACGTTATAGGATGATAAACACGATATTTTTTGCGATTACGTCATATTTTTCGTATTGTAGTAGACAAATATATATTTGAAAGATCTCCAAGAAATCCGAACTAATTATCGATTAACAAATTCGTAAGTTTATAAAACTAAATCAAGTTTGTTAAATATTTTCAAAGATATAAGAAGACAATATTTATGATAATTATAAAATTTTATAAATAAAATGTTTTCTTCCTTGTAATAATTATATGATTGAACAAAAAGCTATTAAAAATTATTTTATGACCTTTGTATGAAAAATAACATTTCAAAGAGACGTATTAATAATATTATTACCATGTCGATCTTGTGAAGATTTGCACAAATTGACATATTAATACACATATCCTCGTTTAAATAGATGACTCGTATACATCAAACGAGGGACGTGATGGAAATTCTAACGACTATGAAACGTGCTCCCATATACTCCGATAAAGTAATCTGTATGACGTTAGCGAGCAATCTCGGTTATAAGTCGGTTCGCTTTGCATTCCACGAAGAGCTTGAATTTTATTAAAACGAAAATTTTAACGGACACTTTGCTGCGTTAATGAGCCTGCAATGTCACGTTAACTAACAATGACAATATCTAATAAAAAAATTATCGATAATTACTTAAAAATATAAAAATATTTCCCGACAAATATTTCGTTTAACACATTATATACTTTGATATCGTTCTGATTTTTTAAAATTCTTTCACTTATGTACTCTGTCTCTCTCGTAATGTTTATAATATTGCAAACAGATTTTTTCTGAAACAAACTTCCTATACTCAAATAATAGGCTGACATCATTTCAGGCTATCGTCAGTATGTCATCAAAATGACGTTTAATGTTCTTTTGACGTCGAAATAATGACAAGTAATGTCAGCTTGCTCCTTGGAATATAATTACGATAATAAAATTGTAAAAAAACAAAAGTTGTAAAAATTATCTATGGAAATTGTGACGTAAAATAATTCAGAAATACCAACCAGCTTTCCGTAATTATATAGATTATAAATTTAATTATTCACATGAATTAACTGAAATAATATTTTAACTTTAAACGAAGAATTATAATAAAAGATTAATCTAGCGATTAATGTCCGTTTCTACCAACAAAGTTTAATTTTAATCTCGATGCAACTAGCTCTTCATTTTTTTTCTAATTCTTACAATTAGAACTTTGCACTATCACTGTTGTCTTAACGTTCGTCCTGATGTGGTCATTAATTGTGTCCGGCCATTTTTACATACGTAAGTTATAATTTATTGATTCACTAATTTATTAAATTTGCTGTACACATATCGTTTGTTTTTTTGACGTTCGGTTAATTTCATATAGTGCTTGATTTTTTTATCTGACTGCCAGTCATTTCACAATGATCTCATTGTCATATGACCACTTGCTTCTGTACTGTTCTATGGATTACATCGGACTTCAACACTTGTTCGATAATTCGAGTGATTTTGTAAACTACTATTCAAGCGATTGGTATGTTGTTACATTTGCGACGTATTAAATTAACGTAAGAAAAATTGTTATAATTGCGACATTTAGATTATATATCTCACCCTTACAATAATATTGTGTTCAGCATTAGAGATGATTTTATTACTATAAAAAGTGTCACATCAAAGGTTATCGAAAACACTCGCGACAAAATAGAACTCGACTATACTCGAGTATACACTCGACTTCGCCACTTCTGAAATATAAAAGCAACGCCTAGTTTTCATACCGTCACAGCTATGCACGACTTCCACTTAGTACACGATTTCTGATAGAACTTGACGACAAAATTACCGTGCAATTACGATACGCCGAACATTCGAATTTAATACTAACTCTGAAATTTTTCTCAATAGTGAAAGAAACGCGCTTCTCTCTTGGAATCATCAGTGTCATCAGGTTATCGAGCTACGACCGTTAATGTTTAAGCGGGGTTACACACCGTGCATGGCACAGTTGTTAGTCGCCCGGTATTAGTTGAGAAGGATGCGTACATTTTACACGATTCTTGTACTCGTGATCCTCTCTGTGAGCCTCGGCGAATGTTGGTCCTTCTCGAACATCGCGATGTCAATCGACAAATTGATACGACCGCAAAACACCTCGGAAGTTTTAAATGTTAACGGAAATGGCAGCGCTACATCAATGGCATCCCCGGAGGTCACGGTACAAGGAAGAATAATATTCGTACCACGAAGGAAAGTCCACTGTGAACCGGGTCATGAAGCCGATCGGCGTGGCAAATGTAGACAAGTGTGGTGAAGCTTATTTTGATAAATACTCAAGGTACATTCCTTTTAAATGCTAAACAGAAAGAAAGATTTTGTCGAAGTATCTAAAAATTTAGTTTGATACGGATCTGAAAATAATATTATTAGACTATTATAAAACGATCAGGTATACAGAATGTTCAAGCATAAACCCGGATCTACAATAGATTTTTAAGCCTTAAGCCATAAAAATGGATGAATTATAATCAATTATTCTCCTCGCATTTGACTGTAATTGGCCAATTTCTTACGACTTAAAGTTAAAACACCTATTATAAATCCGGACTGATAAGTGATGCTATGAAAGTTTTTTCTAGTAATCAATTTAAGCGTCTTACATGATTATTTTGATAGACTAACAAAATAATTTTCATCCATATAGTTAACTTTTTAGATACTTTAGCAAAACCGTTCTTTCTTTGTATACTACCATACGAACCAATATCTAATATTTTATACGATATGGATTCTAATTACTTCCTACGGAATCTGATTATTTATTTTTTCGCTATCCGTTAAGATACAGCCTTGACCAAAATATTAGGCACTTTATTAATGATTATTTAATTTTATTCTTTCTGTTTATAGTACATTTTTTAAATTAATTAGTTCTGGAGAAAAACAAGTTTAAATTAAAAATTAGGGTATATTATCGCGCATGATAATCGTGTTCAGCAATAAAAATGATTCATCATTAACATCGAAAGTTCCATCGAGTTTTATCAAGAATGCTCATAGATGCAGCAAAACAAACTTTTGCGCTTAATACATCTCTTTTAAAATCAATAATTTGAATCTAATGCATGAATTTGTAGTTTTGTACATCTTTCTTATTATACATACAGAGAAACACTGTATATTATTTTTTAAACTAATTTCGTAGAATCGTTCAACAAACGGGCCATTAACCTCGCTACACGTACTTTCAGCAGATCAATTTTATATATCGGTGACTCGTGTTCAAGTAAAGTTCAAGATTTCATCATGCAATTCTTGATATCGCAATCTCGAATCGATGAAAAATTCTGGACACGCCGGGCTGATAAGGCCCCCGACTGTCGTCTTCTCGTCGCGGATAAAGCCGGTTTGCGTACAAGGTCGATTTTAATTAACCCGCTCGTCCGTTTCCTAGTAGTTTGTTTGTGTTCATTTCGAGAAGGCAGCGACGACGGCGGTGGCAGACAGAGAATAGAGATCAATCGTCGCCGGTTCTCAATCGCGTTCACTCCTCAGCGGATGATTTTCTTGTGAAAAATGCAAGATACGAGTCAGAGTCGAGACGTGTCGAATCTAACAATAAGCTTCGTATCTCTCGCGTTCCAACGCGATGAAGCATCATCCGCCCGATAAAATTTAAAACGAAACGCTTCGTGTCGTGATTAACGAACTTTATCATTAGATAAACAGAGATAACTATTTTGAGCCACGTATTTTTGAAGCATAAGCACTCGTACGCAACAAAGTGTCGTTATTTGTAATGTGATTGTTGCATTTTATTCGAGGATAACTGTCTACATCAGCAATTTGCTATCGGTAATCGCCTGACGCCTCTTCGAGGTATGTAAAGATTATACGCGTGATTACGTATTGCGTGAGATATCTCGAATGATATATTCATTTAAATTCTTGAAAAGGTGATTACAGTCAAGAAAAAATTTATCCATGAGAATCACGCAAATATGCGATTAATTCCAACAGATTGAAAACGACGCGACGCGAGCGCAGGATAAGTTACTGAGAGGCGAGATCTGGACAGGCTTCAGTCGTTGATTGCACACTGTATACTACAGTCATACGCAACTATGAAGCTTTTATTGGCTGTAACGTTCGTGTTAGTGTTATTTTTCATCCTAACGTCGAGTACGCACGCGACCAACAAGAGCGCCTCGCGAGAAGAAAAGCGTTTTATGCGTTTCGATAGTTACAAAATCGAAGCTGGATCAATAATTAATGTTCCTATACAATGTCCACCGGACAAGGTCAAAGTTGGAAATCGCTGTCGAAACGTCTTTTAGGTAAGGGACTTTTTAAGGAGCAGAAACTCTCTTCATTACAAGTAAAGCATCAATTACTGCGTCGCACATTTGCAACGACATAAACAATATATTATTTCTATCATTAATCGTACAATCTGAAATGTCTACTTACTATCGTGTAACTTTTCTATTTATTATGTTATTTATTATTTAATTTATATTAGGGTCTACTCAAAAGGAATAGTTTCGCTAATATACTAAAAATTTCATTATAACTATAGAGCTGAAAATAATTTGTTGGACTATTAAAATAATTATGTAAAACGCTTAAACATTAATATGTAACAAAAAGTTTTAACATTCTAGCAACCAATCCTACATAATTATTTTTAAGGTCCAAACAAAATTATCTTCAAATCTATATCTAACTAAATTTCTACATAATTCAACAAAACCATCTTTTCTGTGTAAATTTATAAACAGCACTATATTGTTGATGTTTCACTTTTTGAAGTTATTACTCCAAAGTCTATTGCGCTTATGTTTATAAGTGTATCTTTTCAATAAAGATTTTTATTGCAAAATTAATTCAAATAAGTGTTCAATAAAGACTTATTGTCAGCGCATATTATAAATAAATATATAAATAAATAAGCAAGTAATAATATTTTTATAAATACTGTTACACAGTATATAACGACCTACGATGCTGACGTCAAACGCGTTCACATTTATGCCTAGTTGATTATAGCATGACGTAAACTTATTCTGACGAAGTGTAACGCTTTGAGGTTGATTTTCTTTTTGCCGGAAGTTGGTACAACTCATCAACTATTCCAGCCTACTCGTCTATCAAATGCGCACACAATCGTCACCTCGTATCGATCCCTTTCGTACTCACGTCAAACTTAAATATGCAATAACTTGCCAGATCTTTATTTATAGCGGCCACTCTATTTCCGTATACATCGTATAGCTCTTACTTCCAACCATAGAGAGATGTGTAAAATTTATATGTAAAACTCTGCGTAAAACAAATCAAAATAAACAAGATCGTGGTTTTTGTTGCAGATTCTTTATAGACAGTTGAACCACTCCTGTTTATGAAAGAAAACATCCCCGGGAAAGAGAATGATTAACAGGATTAAAAAGGAAACAAGAATATTATTCTAATTATTGGGAATAAATATCTAATTGGCATCTCTGTAGGTCTATGAAAATTATAGAAAATTAGAGAGAGAGAGAGAGATATGTATTTAATTAATTAATGATTTATGTAAGATCTATACCAGTTCATCGAATCGAATTGGCAATCGTAAATTTCATTCGAAATGCAATTAAGATGTATAGACTACAAACTAAATTATTTTGTCAAGTATGTTTATCCCTACACAAGAAATAGGCTATGATTTTATATTAAACATGACAACAATTAAATTCAAAGAGAATATAGAGTATTAAATTTTTATATACTTAAATTAAGGAATAAATAGAATATTTTATTATATTCGTGAAATCAAATTAAATTAGTTATGTTTCTTTCTGTGAACACACACGCACACAAATATATAGAAGATTATTAATGAAATATATGTATATAAATGATGTAATTATTTACATAATTCCTTTTTCTTAAATAAAAAATGTATAAGATAAATAAAATTAAAATATTCATGTATAGACAGATATACGCGTGAATATGTGTGTGTAAAACTGTTATATACCTATAAATATCACAACATGAGTAAGACGAATAAAGTACTTTAAACAGACTTGTATTATAGTTTTTTCTATCGCCTACATTTTCGCTGAGTCATAATAAAAGATTTATTGGTAATGTGCGCGTAAAATCCAGAATGTGCATAGCGTACACAATCATTTACAATAATTTGTTATCGCGCGGAAGTTTCAAGTTAACGCTCTTACGTAAGTAATCAGGATATGATTTTGACCACTAATTAACTATGACGGAGACGGAAAACCGCACTGATGAGCCTAAGTTGTATATAAATACATGCGCTATCGTTGTAGCAGCCAGTTATTAGCATATTGATGTTGCAAGCGCGTACGTGAGGAAAAGAAGAGAAACTTGACGCCAATCTGTCTGATTTCGTCTTCCTAATTTGAAATTTGAGAAAGTGATCAGGAAATCCAATATCGTCCATAATAATGGCACCCGCCCGTTTGATTCTACTGATTCTCGCGACGATAATGTTAGTATTTGCGTGCGAGGGATGGCCACTGACTTTCCCCTCAAGAAACCGGGTACCGCCGAAATGTCCGCCAGGTTATAGGCCCGCTCGTAACGGAGGATGTAGAAAGATTTTAGTGACTTCCTTGCAGGAGGTAAGTACATCCCATAACATTTCTGGATAAACACATTTTTATTCTTTTCTTATTTTTTATTTTGAAGAATATTCTACTCTGCATATAATATAATAATATAAAAATATTTAAAAAATGTTTGAGAAAAAAATATTTTGTAATTACTGTTGCATAAATTGAAGTAAATTGATTGTAATGTCCAAATATGTATTTTTCTTGATTATAGAATGAAGCAAACAATATCGCAAGACATTCTTTCCTGGAGGTGTCAAAGTAGCAACGAAATATATAATACTTTCTTCTCTCGTATTATAATATGATCGCATCTTTTGACTAGTCAGTAATATGCATTGAAGAAGAAACCAGTTTAACAAAATTTGGTAATCATCGCTCATCAGGAATCAAATAAACTTATGTAACTATGCACTACGTAAATGTTTTACCATTTGTTTATTGTATCGTGTATACTATTTGATAATTGTATTATGTACACTATTTAGATAATTTTGTTAAATAATAACGTCGGAAAAAAATAATTCTAATCATTTGTTTCCACGAATTATTCTTTTTCCTCGTATTTAAATATATATCCATTAAAGATAATAAGTGAACAAGATACGAGTATAATTAGCAATCAGAGAAACATTCTATAAAATGGTAGCATTAAATACAGCTTTGATCACAAATATTACACATAAACATTTTCTTTACTTATTTCGAAATGTTTTAAAAGCAATGTTATTATACATACGTTTAAAGGGTTCTCTTAGATAATATATTCATATATATAAGGTCCTTTCTAATTTTAATAATACTACAAATTATCAACTATTGAAATATTATTGACAAAATAATATTATAAATTTTAATAAAAGATTAGATTGTTAAAAAAAGGTGAGACAATAAAAAATACCACATTATGATTTACAAAATGTCTCAAATGTTGAAAATAATAATATATAATAACAATTTTGTTGCTCTACGTATGTCTTTAATCGATAATAAAATAAATTTCTGATTTGTTACCTATGAATGATAATATATAGTAAATAATAATATATGTACAAATATTTATTGTTTTTCATCATATTAATATAAATTGTAAATAACATTTTTTTAATTATAATAGTTTAATTAATATTTACACATTTTCCAAAATCTACTTCTATGCTTTGAATTATTAATTATTACACTATAATTGTGCTTGAAATTTTTTAATTATTTGATATAATATAATATTATAATTACCATTATCACATTTCTTTTATTTATAAAGTTTTCTTCTAATTTACCTTCCGTAGTTATCTCATGGCATTGGCAAAATACCGATCATTGAAAATTCAGTGTTAAATAAATAAAACTTCTTAGACTCGATTGTTGATAATGTAGAAAAAGTTAGTAAATATATTTGACTCAAATTTAAACAAAATATTATTTAAAAAATATTATAATTATAATAAATAATGTTTCTTCAATTCCATTAAAAATAGAAAATTATGCGTTTAACAGTTACAACTTTAAATTAATTATAAGTAATAACTTTAATATTAATATGAGAGTTTTGGAAAACAAAAATAATTATATTTTATTTTTTAATTAAAACTTTTGATATAGTTACGTATAACAGGTAAGTTTCAACTAAAAGTGTATATATATATATATATATATATATATATATATATACTCGAAAGAGTTGCGAAATATATAGGGCGGGGTTATTTTGTTACTTCTAACTTTAAACTCATGTGAATATTTACGACGAAAAATAATATTTCTTTGCACGTGCTTACAATTACATTATACAATCATGGTTGCTCCTTAAGAGCACAGCACAACCTTTAAATATTCCATGCATTCTATTCAAAAACATATATACATTACAGCAAGAAATGAACAAGAAAACTCCGCTCTATCCTATATAATATATACATTATTCTATATGTAATATTATAGATACATACTTGATAATAGCTGCATCTTTGTTACTCCAGTAAAAGAAACAACAGGCGGAAGACCATCTCAATCAATTCCAGAGAAGATATAGACACCGATCACAGATATCAATACCGAAATTATAATACGCGCACAAGAACAAATGATGCTCGCGAACGTTGCAAACGTAAAGGCCATGGCACATAAAAAAACTTAAGACGTAAGACTTAAGCAGTAAGCGAATCGACCAATCAACATGTTGATTTCGTTACTGCTTAAGTCTTACGCTTTAAGTTTTTTTATGTGCCATGGCCTTTAAGTGGAATGCGCCCTAAGTCGAACGTGTAACATCGCGAAAAATATTACGAATACTCGCGATTGTTTTTTTCTGAGCAACTATAGCAAGATATATTTCTGTGTATCAACGTTTCGTCAAAAATACTGAGCAATGAGAAAACGCTCTATCAGATGCAACGCGACTCAGTAATTAGTCTCGAATTCAAATTTTGTCAAAGCATCATGGCGATTCTTCAAGCCGAAACGGTACGCGACGTTTAGTAAAACTGCGATATTAGCGCACACCGCAATTGACGATTGACGAAGGTATGTACGTGACAAACGGCCGAACGGCGATTCGCGATTGTTTATTCCGCGCGATATTCACAGAAATAATCGCGAAAGATGTGAACAAATCGACCGACTCAAGTGTATTTCCATACGTTTATTACCACACGTTTGTCAACTGATCGAGAACGCGGCCGCGGCATTTCAAATCTATCGATGCGACGACATGGATTAACTAGCGCCATCTGCACGCGAGAGATGTAACCTCATCAGCATACCTACGAATACCTACCAATACTTATTACATTCAAAATCTTAAATTATTGTACAGATGTCTCTGTTATGTTGGTGATTCTCAAGAGTCAATAGATGTAATGATAAAATATCGCAAACTTTCTATCATTTTGACACAAAGACGCGGCCATTCTAAATTTATATATTTATATAAACGTATTTTGTGAGGAGGAATAAAGACGTGAATTATATAAATTAATTTTTTTTATAATCAGTTAATTTATGAATAAAGGAATATGTTACAAATACTTAATTTATGTATATTTTTTAGTCTATTATACAGGTTTATTTGTCGTTGGAATTTCGATACATGAAAGTGTATGAAAATATATGTAAGCGGTTCAAAATAAAATTAGTTCACATTATACAAGTAATCATTGAATAAAAAAAAATAATTTTATGAGAAGTAAATTTTAAATTTGCATAGAAAATTTTGCACAGATGAAAACAACTGCATCTAATGGGTAAATGCAATTATGCACTATGTACACTCTTCGCCATTTGACGCAAAATGTTAAGAAAATTGGATATTGCGTTATTTTATCAATTTACTTTATCAATATAGACTTTAGCGAATTCAATTAATTTATGTGCTCGCAGATATTGGCCAAATATTTACGAGTTTCCATTGCGATGCTGTTTAATATGTGCTACGTTTATTTTTATAAATCATTTTATATACGTTCCTCCTTTTACTCTTTATATAAGCGTCTGATTTATCTGCATCATTAAGACGGTTATAGATAGTTTTCCCGTCGATTGTTACCTTGAGGTGTAACGATATGAAAATTAATTTTAAAATAAGTTGATTTTATATGCAAATTTGTAAACGCCCACATTGTTCACCGAGAGCTACTCGGTATTGAAAAGCATTTACTCACCACACCTGAATTATTTTAAATTATAGTTGATGTAACGGCAAATTACAGCTGTGCAGCTTTCTCACAAATAATGTGATATCTTCCGCGATGATTATCGCTTTATTAAATAAAATGTTATCGATACCAAATGAAAGTATGACAAAATTATATTTACATCTTGATCTTGTTGATATAGATATCGTTTTTTTTTTCAAATGTAAAAATGTACTAATAACATTTACACTTTCTTACTTTAATAAGATTGACCAAAACATTTACAGTAAATATAACGTCCAGTGCCCCTTTATTACAAAAATTCAAGATTTAAAAAAGAAATTTACACTATTATTATATTTTTATTTAGATATTTAACTTGGTTATTGCTGGAAAAAATTTCGTATCGATAAATATCTATCTCATCACTCCAAATATTTATCTGTAACGCACGTTTGCATATTTTATATTCAAATTTACTCTTTAAAATATATTAATTCTAAAATAATTATAAAATATACTAATAATCGCATTAGTACACTGGAAAATTATTAGGTACATATAATAATTTATTATTAGGTACACGATAAAAATTGTTATTGCGATAAAGATTTTTTTATAAAAAAATATCCAAGTACAAGGTGTAATAGTAAAGATATGATACACAAACGAGATAAGCAATAAACTTCCTAGTTAGTCTTAATTGTAGTACGCTGCGTGTCGTATGAATCGTCGTATGGCAAAGATAAATTAGATATGACTTTTCCGCGGCATCGATTGACGCATTCGAATAATTTTACTCGAATGAAATTGAAAAGAAGAAAGCGCGTATTTTACAATTCTATGAATTTAGAAAAGTTCATTGCTTATCGCACTCGTATGTTGCATTTTTATTCGCACTATGTATTTGAATGTTTTTTCTCTATCGCAAAAACAATTTTTATCGTTGGATAAGATCTTAGGAATAAATGTTTCATACATAATTATATAAAAAATTGTCATATTTTATATAAAATATATCCACATGTATAACATTTTTTCCCTGGGATTCCAAAAGAGAAATAAGTTCTATTTTTCAAATTTTGATTTCTTTTTGTAAATCGAGAGGTGGGCAAACTGGATGTTACATTTACTACAAATTATATCTTCCGGTGTCAATCTTATTAAAATAAAAGAATTACAATAATGAAACAAAATTGAAGTAATACAGTAAACAAGCACAAGATATAAAGTTATTAAAAAAATGCAATATAAATTTATTCAAAACTAATAACAATTGAACCAATAATAACATTGTAATCGCTCGTGTTTCTCGTGTCGAAAACGCACTTGGCGGTAATAAATAAAGTATGACGCGCTTTCTTCTCAATTTCACGTAAAAGCACTCGAAGACGCGAATCGATCGCCTACGAAAAGTCATACCGCTTATCTCCGCCGGCCGCACGACGATTCGTGCGACACGCAGCGTGAGTGAGCGCGCTCGCTCGCCTATGCGTGAGGCAAGAAATAAGCGCGCGGGACGTGTTCGTCTCATCAGTCGATCGCGGTGCGGGCGCTCGGATACGCTCAGGTGTGCATCGTCGCGTGTCGAAGTCAAAAATCCGACTCATCGGCAGACCGAGCCGGTCGGCGGCAACCGAGTGATCGTTAGGAATAATTAAAGACGACGTCGACACCTTGTGCCTGTGAGGAGAACGAAGCCGAGACGTCAGAAATGCAATCGCGAATCATCGGCACTTCATTCGACAGCCAGTCGCCGCCGCATTTCATCGCGAGGATGCTCGTTCTCGCGATTGTCTGCGGCGGATTCCTCCTGGGACAAGTCGATGCGCAGTATCATGACGATCCCGATCATATAGTCTTCCCCGGACCAGTCGGCTCGAGATCGAGGGACAGGGCCCTTGATAATGAGCCCGCGAGGGGTTCCGCAGATGACAGCGATACGGTAAATTGGTACAGATTGACCCCGCCTCTGAATTAAGTCCGCGCGGTGTTGCTTGAAATTTAAATTGATTTGAATAATACCAGTTTCTTTTTCGGAGCGACCTGCGTCGAAAGATCGAAAAGACAAATGTTGATTTCTATACGAAAAGAAAGGTTTCATGCTAAAGTATCTAACAATTTTGCCAAATGAAATCAAATTAAATCAACAAAAGGATTCAACAAGAGTAGCATTTTGATGGGACCAAGCAGTTTTTATAGTTGTGACAATTAGATATTCTGGTTGATTTCACAAAACGTCGTTCTTATTAATTCTTTTCTTGATTTAATCAGGATATTTTTCTCAGTGTATAGATCCGAAAATTATTTTGTTAGACTATCAAAATAATTATAGTTTTGGCAACCTGCGAGTGTTCTCTACATTGTTATTTCAAAATAATTATGTTAGGCGCTCAAGCGATCGGTAAAACATTTTTTACAGTCTATATAATTATTTGGATAGTTTAATAAAATTATTTTTAAATCTGTATCAAATCAATTTTTTAGATACTTTAGTAAAATTTTGTTTTTTGTGTATAGTTTGATATAACTAATACATTTATTAGCGGGATATCATATATCTATTTTTGTTGATTCTCTCGACACAGATGATATCTTATTATAATCTCTCTAATTCTCTTTTTACTTGATCTTCAAACATGACGCGCGTAAATCAGTGACGCGGTTGTAACACTTTCGTTTCCAAGACTCACTTTTCGCAGTGAGACCGAAGCCATGTCGAAGGCTGAATTTGTCAATGTCGAGGTGAAACAATCGCAACGTGCGACACGGTTGTGATTCTCGGCACGATGTAAAACGTATCGCACGTCATCTTGCATTTGTGCAAATACCGGATCGATTAGCCTCGAAAGTTCTGCTGCTATTTTCTTTCAATGCGCGCATTATTACTAAATCGCGACAAGAAATGCAAGTAATAGTCCGATCCAAAAAATCTTTAGATCTGTTAGCTGCATTGGAAGTTGTTCTATATTTGTTTTATTTCAACTTATTACATCAGTGTACACCAATTCATGCAGAAAATTCTTCGAAAAAGAACTCTCTCTCTCTCTCTAGGCGCAAAAAATACAACGTGGAATAGTAAATCCACGTGCAACTGAGTAAACTAATTGCTGACTTGGGAGAAATCGTTATATCAATAGTAGCTGTTGGGCTTTATACGATAATTACAGTATCGTCACCACAGTACCTCGCTGAGTCAGTAGAGCGAAATCGAGGCTGCGATTAATAAAACATAACGGCGCCTAAGCGTTAAACCGAAGGCACAGCCTTGCTTCCTGGCAAGGTCGAAACCAGGGTTATTCCGACGAGTCGAGAGCCACCTTTCATTAAGGAAAATACCGCGACCATTCGCGGTCGTTATCGCAAAGTCGTTCGTTTCTCATGAAAGTTCTACGAGATTATAAGCGTGCGCAGATTTGGATATATCTCAAACACGCGAAACGTGCTCGAAAGTCGAGACCAGAACGGGTTCAGAATGCCGCAGTTTCTTGCGCCGAGGATTGTCATTTCCAGGAAAACCATAGAATGTCTGCAAGACGCGGAATTTTCGATAATGCAAAACGCGTCCAACCTGTTTTCCAAATCCCATGAGGCTGCGTTTACGCTCGCATGAAGAATTATGTATTTGCTTCGAAATCAAAGTAGCAACATTACTTCCGGAGCCTATAGGCATTATACATTTGTTGCACAAAGAGCTGCACTCGTTTTCCATAGATAATAATAAGGTTTACATTCACACTTCTTTTATCGAAATAGCGCATATTTATTTCTGTGATTCTATTATAGTGTATGTAATGTAAACTAGAGGTATATACTAAATGCGTGCTTTATCGATGAAAGTAAGATGTGAATGTGAATGTATTTCATGAGATTTCGCGTTAAAATTCCAGAGTACATTCTTAAACTAATTTTGTATCGATCTCGTTTCTGTTCACAAATTTAAATTTCGGCTAATCAAAAATTATTCTTTTGGACGAACTAAACTATGGAATGTACATATCCGATTTAATGAATACGTGAAATATTTGCTGCTAACAATAGGTTAATATAATAGATGCTAATGCTTAAGTCTCAAAGTGCTCGTTAAATTTGTATAAGTTATTTGCTTGTTTTTGATAACTGTAGTATAGTGATTCGTTCTAAAAACCTGTTTAAATAGTGATATCGAAGCTAAAAGCGATCTAACATCCATTTAAAGCAGTGGTTATGACTAATAGAATAACTATGCAAAGTCCCAAAGCTGATATATGTATGTACCTTTAGTTACGGATACTTATCGATCTGATATCGATTTCTCTTCCACACATATGTTACTAATAATTTTTTAGCAAAGAGAACAATTAAAAAATTATTCCAAAATTAAATTTTATATACATATAAACTAACATATTTTATATACAACGTGTTATAGATTGCAACAAATCGAGATCACTGTTGATTATGAAACAGAAAGATACATTAAAATTTGATTGTTTTAATCTAAATACAATTGATGTGAAAAAAAAGGCTTAATAGAAAGAAGCAAATCTATTTTTGTCTTAAAATTTGAATTTTTGTGTAAGGTGGATCATTGACCGACATTTGTTTTATCATTTACTTCATAGTCACACATGCATATCTCGAGTATCTGCGATCGAACAGGATGACTCACAATCTGCGGGAATACCCCGAGGAATTTAATTTTATATTTATTCTTTTAGTCAATATTTATGAGATTATATCTAGGAAAGAAATAATCGTGATTATTCTAGCCAGGTATGATCCATTAAGATTTATCGATTCTTTATTTTTTTCTAATCTTGCACGTTCGAATCGAAATGAGTGTTCTTAAGAAAATTCTATTTTATATTTATCTTAGCACATCAAGTTTTCCAATACAGCTAACGCAAGAAAATTGCTGACCGCAGATTAATAAAGCAACTGCATGGAAAGAATGGTTTTGCAACTAACTCGAGCATTTTACATAATTACTTTTTCAGTCCAACAAAATTATTTTTAAATCTGTATTTATAGTTAAATTTTTAGATACTTCAACAAAGTTGTTAGTTACTATTTCTTCAATTTTATAAATGTAAATCGCAACAATATAAGTTTAGGTTCTTTTAAAAACCTAAATTTATATGTATTGTTACATATGAATATTATCACTAAAACTCTTGAATATTAAATTTTTCGAAATACAGCATACGGAATAGAATACAAGAAACTTGTTAACCGCAAATTTGTTAACCTAACAAAGTATTTTGAAACAACTTTTATTTTCGATAGCTTTCGACCACAATCTCGGATTTTCTGCTTGGTCATATAAGTCGCAACTTATGACCCAGTGTGATCTGTGTTTAGAAGATAATCTAATCTTCTAGCAATATATATAATATATATGTAATAATTTATTTTTTAGATACCGCTCGATTTAGCAGCTAGATTAAATACGATAGATTCGTTGGAGGAATTTCTGGAGCTTCTTCACGGTGTTACACACAGCGAAAGGAGTTTCTCGTTTATGACTAGTAAGTACAATTCGATACTGCGTTATCTTTCTTACTAAATGCAAATATAAATAATGCAATGGTAAATAATAATCTTGAGGAAAACTCATCGTAGATAAAAAGGAGTTAACCAGGTTTACTCTTTATTGAATAGAAACATCAAGGATAAAAATCTTATTATTATAATTATAAAAAATTAGAAAATACGTTGCCAAACAAACATTTGGAAATATATTGATGTTATTTATCATGTTCCAACATCTCGTACAATTAAATACATTACAATTATCGTAGGGAAATTAATAGTTTATAAAGATACAAATAAAGACATCGCGATAAGATTAGTATTTTATCACCTAAGCAGAAACATAAATTAAATCGCGGCGCGGTAGATCTCTTGATTATTCCGTTGTTTATACAAACGCGTAATTATCATTGTAAACTGAGATCATGTCGTAACGTAAATCATATGTACAAATTTTGATACTTTCAGTGCATGTGGATTAAATACTGTGTAATTATAAAATAAATATTGCATGCTTAAAATATATTTTTCAACCTTGCAAGAGTTAAATGATTTTTCGATTAACACAGGAAACAGCCTTTCCGTTACAAATGAAAATTCGCGTATCCGGCCAATTGATTTCCCTAACGATGTTATCTAACCAAGAGCAAATACGTGCAATCATCGTCATTTGGCCACAAGCTTGTGCGATAGTTTTATATTGTTATTTCTTGTGTGTTAAGTGTATTAACTTAGACCTTCGAATAAACGATCTCATGAATTTGATACATGACATTAAATGGTTTTTTATTTGGACAATCGGAAATCAGTTTATTGTTGACGTAACGCAAGCCAAAATGCATATTAGGATTTTTTTTCGCTATTTCAGCCTCGAAACATTTTAAAAAATTTTCGCGATCCTCTAAGAAGTTTAAAGGTTGTAGGTAACCACCGAAATGATTTACATCCGGTATTGAGGTATTGCTAATTTGAATCGCCTCTTCTAAACTTAGCAATTTGCTTTCCTGTGTTTTATCTGTATTGTGACATACCTTGGTCGAAAGTTCCGATTTGCGAGCAACACAAGCATTTTTCTGTGCATTATGGCATTTTCTAGCAACCTTCGACGAATCGACATTATTTAGAAGCGAATACGTGATCTGCAGCTTGCATTTTCGTATCCAGGTTTTCTTTTTAATCAATGAATTTGACCAATGATATAGAGAATCTAAAAAATATAATTTAACATTTCTAATATTTATATTATTGGCAAAATATATAAAAATTATTTCTGTAATTTCATTTATATGTAATTTATATCTTTTTATATAAAGTTCAATTTAAAATATTCTAGAGAGCAATGTCTGAACAATAATAAAATATTATATGTATCCATCTGATAAATATTTTTAATTAAATTTATTTCTACCTGTTTGTGTATTCATTCGTATTAATTTTATTTCTCCATTCGCTTCCAGGTACTTATTGTTAGTCGTGTTAGCTTCAGCAGTAACAGGTCCATCTCCTTGATCACACTCTCTGTTGATGGCTCTGACGGTTGGTGCCATTTCCTCTTTCAATTTTATCCTATTAATGTTCTTGCTGACGATAGGCTGCGACTCGGGCTCGAAAAGATTATAGAGATCGCCCCCGTTAAGATCATAACTCTGATTATCCATCTCGGCGATTGCACTAAATTTGTTTTGATGCACGTCGATATTGGCATTCGTATTCTCAAGATCTGTTAAAATTAAAGTTTTTAGTTTTCCTATACATTTTTCATCTTGAAATTTACATCCGTTAGAAGCTGCTTCATGTATGGAAGTTGCATCGTTCGCATTGCTTTTCTGGTCATCACAATCTTTCACGTGGGTCGTTGACATTTCAGTCTCGTGTGAAGAACGAGCCGGTAAATAATCGCTCGTGTAAGTTCCACAGCTATTGTTCTGCTCTAAAGACCGTTTTATCTTCCTACGCAAAAAATATAGGTATGTGCGTGAGACCATCTAATAAGTATTAAACTACCTCAAATGCATTTATTGTGCACGTATCTAATAATAACATGTATGAACTAATTTTTTGAAAAAGATGTCGATTTTATAAACTTGGACAATGTAACTGATAAATGCAATTGTGAGTATACGCGTAACTTATTAATCTCAATGTCCTCACCGATTCGACTGTTTGCTTTTGTGAGGGATACCGGAAATTGGCATAATATCAGAAAATGTGTGAAAAGATTCCGTTTTATTGAACAGCATAAAGGCAGTTACTTTTTTTCTTCCCGTAATCACGTTTCCGAACCATTTGAGTACTACATCCTCTGCAAGATGATCCTTAAAACCGGGAACCATTCCATCGACCAACATGAAATAATAGTTTGCAATTGAAATTGCTTCGGCATGTTCATCGACCATTTTCCGCCTTAAAAAAATAATCCTATTTAAAAAAATAATTGTTATCTCTAGAAAGAATCTAATATCAATTTAATAATCAACTTCTAATTATATATATATAAATATATGATTTCGTTTATTTCTTAACAAGCTAATACTGTTTTAATAACATAACTTGTTACAACTGATAAATGCTACATTAATTCTTACAATAATAAATACAATATGGAAAGGATAATTTTTCTAAAAATTTAGTTGATACAGGTCTAAAAATTATTTTTTGAATCACCAAAATAATTATATAAGATGTTGAAAATAATCGCTGCAATGTCAAAATTTTCGCAACACTGCTCATCATGCTTAAAATCCAATTTATAACGTGCTCTTTATTTTCTATTTCTTACTTTTTACATTTTTCTTTGCGTTTTATCGACATCATGTTTCTTGTCTCTTCCAAAGTTCGTCAACTTTATCTTGAGTGACAGAAAATGAAGAAACAAGATAAGAGACAAAAAGACAAGAGGTAAAAAGCAGTAAAAGCAAGAAACAGGAAGCAAAGTGCATATTGTACATTAGGTTTATGTGTTTTATATATATTATTCTGATAATTCAATAAAATTATTTTCAGATTTCTATCTAGATACATTTTTACATACTTCAGAAAAATCGTACTTTTCTTGAAGACATTTACAAGACATTTGATAATTAATATTATTTACTTGGAAATTAACACATCCAATAGCTCGTTAAAGTTTTCTACGTATTACGAAACATATTTTATATTACGTAAACTGGAGACTATGTCATACTTCAGCAGTGTAAAAAGGAAAGTTTTTTCGATTACGTTTAAGATACAAACAAGGATTCTTTCCAGGTAGATTCGGAGGCGAGGAACGATCGAACGCATTGATACCAGTGCCAGCCAAATGCATGCCTGAGCTGCAACTCGTTTCTCTAAAACTGGACGACGATCCTTCGACGTTCGTCTTCCCACTCTGCACACGGATCAAAAGATGCGGCGGCTGTTGCATTAGTCCTCTGCTCTCGTGTCAACCAACAGCTACGGAGATGCGGAACTTCGAAGTAATCGATCGTTACTGAGTTAAAGAGCACGAACGAAAATGTGTATAATATTATGAGCAATCAACTCGAGAAAGAGTAATAATTGAATATGTTTTCTTTTACGTTGTCTTAAGGTGATCGTGACGTCGCTGGTCGATATGAAATACCGGGGACGACAAATTGTGCCGGTGGAGGAGCACACTAAATGCAAGTGCGACTGCAAAATCAAGGAAGAGGTAATTTGATGGCGATCGATAATTGGTGGTTAATTAATGCCTTGCTGCTTAACCGGGCCGTGTCATTTATGAGTTTCACACCTCACACATCGTCTCGTCGTTCATTGTTTCTCACGCGATTTATATGCATGCACATATGTGTCACTTGAGGACGATTTACGTCAGCCGGCCGGCTGAAAGGAACACGGGCTCCGTTTCCAAGCATCTCAACAATGCACGAAAATTAGAAAGAGAAATAATAGGCATTTCAAAGGCGTGAGTCACATTTTCCACGTGTCCATCTGCATCCCCGCTCGTCCTTCGAATGTATTGCGAAATTGACGTTTCAATTACTTGGGATATTATGTAATCGCAGATACAAAGAGATGCAAAAGATATAAAAAAAATTCTAAGATTTCTCTCTAAAATATGTGTTAGTAAGCATTAAGATCATTTGCGCGATGTTCAATGTACACAATACAATATTTAAAGATTTATTACATGTATTTTTTAACAAAATGAATTAAAATTATAGATTTTTCTATATGTATTTGTTTTTTATTGTATTTGAAAATAATACAAAAAGTTCAACGGCGATCAAAAACCTGGATCGAAAATTATTTCAATAACAAGATATATATATATATAATATTCCAGCAAACGTTAGTTATCGTCAATTTATTTGCTGAGATTTTTTTTATATGAAAAGCATATATCTCTAATTCCATTTTGCAGAGAGTATACACCTGACAAATCCTTGATCTGAATTATGAAATGAAATGGACACAAAAGTTTAAAAACAGGACATAATGAGCTTTTTGGGCATCTCATAAGACGTCTTATGTCCTTTAAATTTTATGTTGTCAGGAATAGTTCAGATTAAGAACGCATTAGATGTATATAGTCTCTGCAAAAAAGTGACTGGAATTGGCAATTTATACTTTTCCATATAAAAATTTGTCTGAGAAACAGCTTAAAATTATTTTTGCGAAAATGTTTTACGTCTTGATTTTGGTCTTTGGTTGTCTGAGAGGCTAAGGTCGTTTCTCAATATACCAATTTCGCTGATTGCTACAATTGTCGCTTCCTTGCAACGTGCGCGAACGCTCGCAAAGTGTGTCAATGCGGAGGACAAGTGAAATTCAACCGTGTTTGTACGAGTATGATAAGTGTTGACACTCTTTTTCGTCGATGATTCATGCCATGTCGTTTTTCCTTGTTGCTTTCAGCACTGCAACGATAAGCAATATTACGAGCCGCACAACTGCAAGTGCGCCTGCAACAATGTGGACGAGGAGGAAAAGTGCCTTAAGAATGACACGAAGATCTGGAACTCGACTCTCTGCGTTTGCATGTGTAGGACCATCGAGCCATGCACCACCGGATACTACTTCAACCCCAACACGTGCAGGTGTGAGCCAACAGAATAGAGGACTATCTGCTAAAGGAATAAGGCGCTCTCCTTTTTCATTGCACGTCATTACTTAATCATGATTTGCGAACGCACCGATTTATTTCTCGTTCACCTAAATATTCTGAATTTATTTCAATCGTCCACTTCGTTTTCTGCACGAATTTTCGCAAGTTTTATGGGCCTCCTACAATAAGCCGCAAGTCAGAACGTCAGAAGTCTTAACCAGTCTTAACCAAGTCGTTCAAGTTGGCTATTGGCCAACTTCACCGATTATGACTTAAGATCATTTAGAACTTGCGGCTTATTGAAGGCCTATTACTCTTTTCTCCTTATGCTTTACACGCGATTCTATGTATGCGATTCTAATATTCGCGCTTTCCTTCTATCTCGTACGTATAGGTATTTGCACGTGAGCGAAAGCACTTTCCGATTTCTTCACGTCGATGTCTTTCACTGAACGACATAATTCGCCAGACATTTTGGGTGACAATGAAATGAAAACTTGCTTCTCGTCAAAAGTTTCCTCATTGCTTAGTCATTAACTCTTCATTACTCGCGAGGGATGTCCAGAACATTCCAGCTTTATAAATTCGTTAAATTTATAAATGATATTTATATATATTATATTCATTATATTCATTATATTCATTATTATTTTTATTATTAGCAAAAATTATTTCACAATTAAGGCTATATTCTCTCCAAGAAAAATTTTACTCAAATTATATAATAAACGTAACATGCTGCTACATTTTTATTGAGTAAAATTTTTAATTTTTATCTAAAGGATGTATAAAATATGAATTTTCATTTAATCGTAAAAGGATAAAAATTTAGATATAATGCTGAGATATTAGAAACATCATAGACGAGCAATTATAAAAACCACGCGAGTAATGTAAGGTTAAACTAAAACGGCGTATACTTCATATGTGATGTATATACACTTAACTAATATCTATAATAATGTAACACTCTGGAGACGGAATATATTTGTATTCTACTAACAACGATTGCCGCTTTAAATAAATCGTTAAAAAAATAACGACAAAAATCAGCAGAACTTTATGAAAACCTAAGATTGAGAGATTGTGAAGTGTTCTACATTTTCAATTCACGCAATTTGGCACGATATTACAGCACATGCTCCATAATTATTGGCATGTAACCGCAAATGTTCCAGATGTGGACCGATAATGTTGTCTAGACCAGTAAACAGGTTTGCGCCGACGAATTACAATTTCACTGACCGTCAACCAGAAAACAGGCGAACGGTGATAATCCCTTTGGACCCATCAGATCCCAGAAGAAAACACAAGGAGGATCCTGAATACAAGTGACAAGAATTCAGACGGACACGCGACGGATTACAAGACTGCTAAAACGATATATAGTTAATTTGTTAATTTCTTTATTACATAAAGACGAGACGCCTCAATAATTCCATACCTGGGAACTGAAAGAGTTGAATATATATATTCTCTCAATTTTATAATTTAATTGTCATAATTTTATCATGATGCAAAATATGTTGCAAATTCTGTAACTTTTTTGTTTCTCATGATTGTAATATATATATAGCAATGAGCAATTTCTTCTGCGATTTAGTAGTAAAAGAAATATTACACTTATAGTTCTACCTCCAAATCGCAGAATGACATGCTTTTCTAGTTCCAAGGTGTTTTCGTACTAAACTATTGTATGTTGACTGAAAACAAATTAGGTCAAAGACATTGTGATATAATAAGAAAATGACCGCCACAAGATCTTGTTCATGTTATTTCTTTTTGTATTTATAGTTACGAAGATGAACACACTACTTGTTATTTGCCTTTATCATACGTGACATAGCAATAAATTTATAACATGTGTGACACATGCAGGATTATCAATTACATCACATATATTCGTTAATTAGTATTTACATCTAAATCATATTATAAAATTCTTGATATTAATTACAATTGGACAAATACGATTGTTATACTCAATTATTGTTCCTCTCTGATTGATGTAGAATTTATATCTTCTGTATTTATCGCCTTTTCACGTCTCTCAGCGTTGTACAAATATGTAACAACAGCAGTGTTCGCACTCAGAATGTTGCTGTAGCTTTCACTGATAGATTTAAGAGAGTTGGTTACTTTATCTAAAACATAACACAATTATATATATTAACATATAAAATCATATCATAGAATTTCAATAAGAAATATCAATTATCTGTAAGACATTTCCTATAAAGTTCTTCTTAGCTTATAGATACTTTGTTCTATTCCCATATTATCTTTCCCATCAAATTGTTATAGAAATCTCAACGAGACAAGTTTACATCTCAATTAACATATAAAATTATATCGTAGAATTTCACGTCAGTAAGAAATATAAATTATCTACTAAACATTTCTTATAAAATTCCTCTAAATGAACTATGAAAATTTCTACTATCTCATTTTATTCCCATTATTCATTCCATCAAAATGTCAAATAAAATCACATGAGAGAGAAGTTTACATCTTGATCAATATGCAAAATACCGTATAATATATAATTTCACGTTATTGGTAAGAAATAGGAATTATTTACAAACCATTTTCTATAAAATTCCTCTAAACGAGCTTTCTAATACTTCATTCTATTCCCATTATCCTTTCTATCGAACTGTTATAGAAATTACACGAGAGAGAGATTTATATTTTGATTAACTTACCGATAGAAGACACAATGTCGAAGATAGCTGATTCCTTTGTGGACTTTATCCGTTTTACTCCTTGTTCTTCCATTATGTCACCTTGGCATTTCACGCCGCTGTCAGTTATTACACTCGATCCGTGATATTTTCATAAAACCTCAAAAAGCTTGTCTGTTGACATCTACGCGATGGTCGTGATGTCGTGATGTCAACAGCTGAGAAAAGGCGCGAAAGCGATTATCGCCAGCCGCGCGGCGCCGCCATGTTGCATGCGATTGATCAAGTGCACGCTTGCGCAGGTATCGAGTGTGACATATCGACGACAATGACAAGTAATTTTTAAACGACGATAGTTACAATATTACGTAATATGATTTATAAAGGGAAATATTCAATCAGTTAAAAAAAAAGTTGCTCTCTTGACAAGCTTAGTGATTGTCCTTGTTACGTGCAACGTTTCTCTCTATCCTTCTCTCTCTCTCTCTCTCTCTCTCTCTCTCCTTTCTCTCTTTCTACTCGAAAGGTCACATTCCTTTTTCCCTTTCCAATATCGTTTACACTCGCGAATGCTTTACTTGTGCAATCAACGGAATAAAAAAAGTGATAACAATAAATATTTATCTTTTTTAAAGCTATACATTCAATATATATGCACACGTGATCTTTATTTTTCGCTCACTTATCCTGTGCGAGAAACATATAAATAGCATAATATAAATGTTATTATTTATAAAAATTATACTTTTTTGTTAATTATTAAATTGAGATTATTTCATGCAATTGTAACGACTAATTTTTAATAAAAATCTCATCAGTTGAACAAAGAGAAAATCCGTTTTAGTACATTAAGAGTCATCTAACGGATTCTTGAGCTATCAGTCAAATACTGTAACTCATCTTGTGCTTGATAGATGGCATGTTAATCCAAAAACGTAGACGATATAAAGGTTATTTTTAGACGCTGAGTATGGCTACGTAGTGATGCTAAACTTTGGAGTAGGCGCGTGAATTTAACTAACAACGGTAGTAGACGCATTCCAGTTTTGGCCAATACTTTTTTGTACGTATATGTATCATAATTAAGTAATAATTAATAAGAAAAACATTCTCGAATTCAGAAAGTTGTTCATTCAATTTTGTTTCTGATTCTGAATTATGATTTATATAGATATTTTTAATTTTCTCCGAATCGCTAATTGTGTGTTTCTTCTACAAACATTTCTCTGATTCTCATTCTTACCAAAATTTTTTTAAAAATCCGTATTATATATTTCTTGCAATGTATATTATAAATACTAACAATGAAAGACATGCGATGTTTAATTATGTTAGTGATGAAGAAAAGATAAATGTAAGTGTGCTGCACGCTACAATCATTTAGATTATACAAACGTAATTGAATTTTATGGAATATATGTATATACATGTATAAAATATACATATATATATACATATACAATTATAATTTATAGGTAGCGCGTCATGGTACTTATATCTTTGGTATAAAAAAATAGCATCAAGGAAAATATATGTAATAAAAAAATAATACGATAATACCGATAAAGTGGTAGATATGAATAAAAAAGTACGACAAAATGATCAGAATGCGACCATTTTTGGGATAATTGCCGACATATTTCGCCTTAACATAAATTTTAATCGTAATTTTTTAAAGAAATGGGATTTTAATAAACTTTAATTTGTGGATCTTCTACATAAAAATTTCGACATAAAAGTTTATTGATTTATTATATTATTTTTATTTGTATCTCTGTATTAAGTATTATATTTTTATTACAATTCAATTAAAGTCATGCATGTTTCTTTTAATATTTTTATAGTATGTAGATTTGTAAAATAAAAAATATTTATAGACATTATACAATATAGATATTATAATATATATAGTATATATAAAAAGATTATTAAAAGAGTCCGCGTTTAATATTCTTATTTACGATATTCTTTATTTTTGGTACGCAAGTAATTAATCACGCACAATGTCAGGATTAAATTACTACCCTCTGTTGCAAGGTTATTCCCGATTATTTATAGCATCTTCGAAATTCCACGGAAGCCGAAGATCGTGTCGATCGGCATGGACGGTTAAATGGCAATTTTGTAATTAGAGGTTTTACAACCGACCCCCGTGCTGCTCGCGCTGATTACAGGCTTGAATTTCGGATATTTTTACCACGCATAATTGATTCGCGTTCGTGATTTAATGATAAGAGCACGGACGAAACTACGTTTCTTCATTACGATTACATCGCGGCTGCGTATTCCCGACTACAATAGCGCGGAATCTCTATAAGAATCAGAATTAATCATACTCGCGTTTAAAGCTCGATTCCGCCCGGCGGGAATGATTATTATCTTGTGCCGGAATGAGTCCTTGCTTGTTAAAAGAAAAATCGGAATTGCTCTCGGTGCTTCTCCAGAGTCAATTACATTTAAAAAATATTAATTCAATATAATAAATTGTAATATATCGTATTCTATAATTCCTGTGCCAGTCTGTTAATATTAGTAATTACAGTGAGAGCAAAAATTATTCATACAAGGAAATTTTTTATTAAAAAAGTCTTATTTGTAGAAAATAAACATTAATTAGCTATTTTATACAATGAATACATTCTGTTCTAACATATATAAATGAGCTTCGCATGTATTTCTGATATTATAGCTAAATTTCTCGACTGTACGAATTATACTTTTTGAGCAGCCAAACAATGTAATTTTTAATTTTCGCTTATTTAAGATGATATATTTTCTATAATTAATACATATCTTTTTGGTATATATAATTTTAAGAAACGTACAGCCTATCTTATACTTTATGAATAAATTTTAATTGTCAATTATCCAGCAAGAAATAATCATCAATTAAACGTCGAATCGACGTCGAATTGGTATTTAAATCATCGTATCGATATCGATTCGACATCAATTCGATGACTCATTTCTCGCTGGATAATATTTAATTTTAAAAAATTAAGTTTTTTCAAAAATATTTTCTCTATACGAATACTTTTTGTACTCACTGTAAATATTACCAGCTGTTCTCTCTCTTTCTCATCTGCTGCCCTGACTATTGAATTGGTATGGTTTATTTCAAGTTAAGATTTTTATATGTTTGCATTTAAAATTGTACATTTACAAAGGCTGAGAGAATTAAAATTCGAGTGATATAAATAAACAGCTATATGTATATATACGCAAAAATATATTTATTAATTACAACACACACACGTATATAAATATATATATATATGTATATATATATATTGCTGCTTCATCTTGAAGTGCGGTGTGTGTGTGTGTGCTTCCGAACCAATTATTTATTACCAATAACACATACACATATAAATCTGTATATACATATATCGTTGCTTCATCTCGAGTGTCGCCTTCGAATAAATTCGGGGGACTTGGAACCGACGCGGTCGAGATTTGGTACGATACCCGCCGATTAATCATCGGGGTTCCCTGATATACACACTTAAAAGTTCCTGGCGAAAGGGACAGAGAAACGGTAGCCGACTCGGCCCGGTCGGCTCCAACCAGCTCCAACCGGCCATCCGTACCGCGGCGCCATTTTTTTGCGCCATCCGTTATAATTGCCGGGGCCTTGTCACTTTTGCCGTGGCGCGGCGCGGCCCGCGGGCCCCGCAGTGAGGTACCTGGTATGTGCGTTGCCCCTGCCCCTACCCCTCTCTTACACCGAGGCGGCTTCCTCAAAGAGACCCCGGCAGGGGGATGCGAAGAGAGGGATGTGCAACGAGCGAAGGACCAGAAATCAGGTGCACAATGTCGACTATCTCCGCAACTGTGGATATTCCTCTCGTCTCCTCCAATCGTTTCGAACGAGATGCCGATGTGTATAGACATACGACTCAATATTATATAGATTGAAACGGTTCGTAGCGCTACTTCATTTGTATCATGCTTACATTTTTTTTTTAATTTATCAATTAAATAAGGGAGAGTAGAGAAATTGCAGATAGGGAAAAAGTTAAATAGAACTGCCAATTAATAATTCATTTATTTATCAATTAATAAGTTTTTATTCAAAAGCATACTTTAGTTATTTATCTTTAAACTACGATAATTAACATTTATGTATTATCAATATAAACTCTAACTTTAAATAAAAAACGAATCCCTTACCGCGTCTAGAATCATCCACTGCCACGCGAATTTAGTATTGTCTTTTGTTTAAAATTATAGTTTATGTTAATAGTACACAAATGTTAACTATTGTAGTTTAAACTGTTTAAAATTAATATCCTTTGAAAAACAAACTATAAATGATAAATAATTATCGGTTCTATTATATTTAACTTTTCCTTTAGATATTGGTAATTACCCAATTAATAGTTTTAATAAATTTACGATATATAAATTGATGTTTTTTTGTTATTAATAAGGAAATATTGATAATATTGATATTCAATCGTCAACGGATTCTCTCGGAGCTTCAACGGTGCTCTGGTTGGTTTCGCAAACCGGGTAACACTTAAAATTCAAAGGCGATCGGCCGGCCAGTGCCGGCAAAAACTCGTGCCTCGCCTGCGTATTTTACGCCACTTTCTTGCGTGTACGCACGCGTGTAGGTATCTCCCTCCTTGTTTCCTCTCTCTTTCCTTCTTTCTTTCTCTTTTTCTCTTTCTCTTCCTCCTATTACCGCGATCTCTCTTCAAGGACTGCTGCTGCACGGATGGTCCAGTCCAGCGACAGAGGAGCCGGCGAAGAGAAAAGTTCGAAGATCGTAACACGGTAGCTCGAGCAACAAGGCGGTGGGTTTAAATCACATTAAAGCATGTCTAGGCATCTCGCGGGCCATAAGCCCGGATTATGGACGTCGCTCGCTCTCTGGACGTGAGAAATTCCACAAAGTAACCCGACGTTACCATAGGGATCGGTCGATGGAAGACGATCTACGAATGGCTGTGGCGAAGGGATTGTCGAACGTTTCGTACATCAAATTTTGCGTTAGGTGTTTACATTATTGCTGAAACGCTACGTACTATCTATATAGAAAAAAAAACGGTTTTGTTGAAGTATTTAATTAAAGTTTTGTTAAGTACAGATCTGAAAATAATTTTGTTGAATTATAAAAATAATTATGTAAGATTCAAGCTGGTTGCTCCAAAATTTGTACAGCATTAATTATGCTTGAATTTCTTATATTATTTTGAAAATTTAACAAAATTATTTTCAGATTGGTAGCTGAATTTTTAGATATTGCAGCAAGATTGTTCTTTCTATTGTATGGAAAAAATTTTGCTAAAGTATCTAAAAAGTTAGATACAGATCTAGAAATAATTTTATTTTATGAACCATTACGATAATTGTATATATAAAATGAAGCTAGTCGCTGGAATATGTTAAAACTTTTTGCGGCATTGTTATCAACGTTCAAGATCACAAAATTATTTTTATATCTGTACCTACTTGTCGATCGGCTCGGTAAAGTATACCTATAAAATTAAAAGTGAACATGTGAATCTAAACTAAAAATCTCGTTTTTGGCTCTGGTCTTTTACGTGGATTTGGAAAGTCCGATGAATCTTGCGCGAAAAGGAACCCATCAAAAGGATCGAGCTAATCAGCTATAAGAACACTATAATCAGTTGCTCGATACGACGAACACCCATCATCATCATCTTTCAAATAAAAAGAAGACATCGCACCGTCGAGGATACACTCACTTTCTTCCTGCTTGATTTGAAACCTTAATTGGAGCGGCAAAAGCAGTCCGTATCGAAAACACTGTAATCGGCAACTATTTTCCTGCCTAAAAAGCGATACCTGCGTTTCCGCAATTCGCCCAATGATGTCCGGGTTTCGTAAAAAGAAAAGGAACACGCGTACTCGCAGCTTTGGTGTTTCGTGAAAGATGTGATAGCACGTTACGCCCGTGGATTATGGTAGCGAGATAAATCGCCTGGCATAAATATAACGGCAGAAATGAGGCTCATACTCTCGACTCTTTTTTTTCACGCGTCGCATAAAAAGTTGCCTTCACCGAAATTACACCGGTATCGGCTCCCGGTTACCAACGTACAGAAGCATCGGGCCATCTATCTATCTACGAAGAAGGGGTAGGAATGGAAGGAGAGGGAAAGGGTGTAAGACGAGATAAAGTGGTCCTGTGAAACGTTACGAAACAACGTGGGCAGCAGAAAATGGCGTGGGCCGCGACTGTCCGAGACCAGGTGAAACGTGTTTGTACAAGATACGAACTGATAAGCCGTCACCGAGAGCTCAACAAGAGGGTTCGAGTCACCGGTTAAAGCCCATTAGGGAAAGTGCATTTATTACACTTTCCCTAATGGATGCTTGAAAAGACTTGTGATTCTCTTAAAAAATATCTCTACTTGAATTGTAATCAATTTTCTTTCATCGACGTTAGAAAACTATTAAGCATCAAGATCCGCTTCAGTCGAATACACGATTTTTTCTTTTATTTGTATTATTCACATAGTATTGATACATTTTCTTAGGGTAAGACGGTATAATTTTAAACATAGTTCATTTCGTTCAGAAATATACCATGTTCGAAATTGTATCTCTTTATCCTATTTTTTTTTATTTATTCTGTCTGGAAATTAGTATACTAATATAACTTCTTCGATATAACGCGTGCTTTCCTGTTTTCCGTCATAAAAAGAATAATTTTACTGAAATATCTAAAAATTTAGGAAGATACACAGATTTGAAAATAAGGATTTTATTAACTTTATTTCATACAATGTACCAATTTTTTTTATTACGATCATTTTCGGTTTTCATGAAGAAAGATATATAAGATATATAGAAATAAAACGATCCCCGACGTATAATCATAAAAAGTAGTTATGTTCTCCTTTTTAGATGAATGAACAAAATCATTCTTTTCGTGTAAGGATATACGTCATACATCATTACGATAGCGCTTGAAGCCCAACTGATTGTGAGATTTTATGGTGACAGATTCTATCCGACAAGTTAAGATCAAAATCTGATTTACAGTTTCACGGACACGATTTTATCGCGTTCACACAAGTACAAGTCTATTCGGAAATTAAACGTTCATAGGAAAAACTTATGCAACGACAGGCTCCGATACGTGCGTTAAGAAAGATCGTGAGCTCTTACGACTCGTTTCAACCATGAGCCAAATGAATCATAAATCGTGACGAAGGGATTATGAGAACAATACTCTTTCGTTATATACGCATCGCTGTCGCTGGAGATAATCGATGATCGTTCGCATAAAATGAAAAAGTCTATTTAAGGGGCTTCCATATAGATAGGCAAATCGAATTAGAGTAAATTGTGTCGCAAAAAGATCGCAGGGTGCATAACGAACACTTATCAAGACGATTCGAGATGGAGCAAGAAATGGAGTACGCGCGAGAGAAGTGCAACAGGAGCAAATCGATCGTTTAAGTCGGGATTCGAAGCGGATTACTGTTGAAGTAATAATAACGACCGAGATGATGGGTGTGCGTGCGTGCGTTCGGCTGTGTATATACATGATACACGAGTGTATGCCGAGACGATGACCGCGTGTGATGACTTCTGAACTACGCGGTCCACTTTTCCTCGGTACAGACGCGCGAGAAAGTCAACAGCGTGAACGAAGAAACGAGTTCTCTTTACGATAAAAATATCAAAATTAAATTTTAAAGTACAAATAAATGAAGAAAACCATATTCGGTCAAAGCAAATGTTGGCGCTTAATAATAATATTTCTGCATAAATCTTACAATTTCCAATTCGAATAAATTGCACGCCGATTTTTTTTATCAGTTTTGACATACAGTTCTAAACTGAAATTGACGTATATCGTTGTATCACAAATCAAATCACAAATTGACAATTTAATAATACAGATATTAATAAGCATCTTTAATTATTGTATAATAACTGGAACATATATATATGGGTCCTGGTCACTCAGAGAATGATATAAAAAAGTGTTTTCTGAAAAAAAAATTCAATGCGTTATATCTAACAAGATTTAAAAGCAATAAATCCTATCAATAATATTTTATATTTGTTTTTTTCAAATAAATAAAATAACCCTTATATCATATATGACATTAAAAGACTTAAAGAAAATAAAATAACAAAAAATTTTAATGGATTTTAAGGACTTATATGTTTCTTTAGCGCCACAAAAATATGTGCGAATTAAAATATTATAAAAAAAATTATTGCAAAAAATATTGTCCTTAAGCATCTCTCTTAATTGAAAATAAGAGAATAAAAAAAATAATTAAAATGAGAAAATATCACTGACTTCGATGTATACAAAAAAGAAAGAGAAGTTTAGAGAGATATTTTTTTGCTTTTCTACTAATATAAGTTCGATATAAATATTTGTTTTGATAGAAAATTATATCTTTGCATAGGAATCATTTTTCGTTACGTGGAATTAATGTCGTTGCGTAGAGCTCTACGATAAAAAGAGATATGGGAGAAGATAAAGTATAGCGAGGACAGAAAAGAGAGAAGCGGTCCCCGTTGACTGTGTAAAAATTGAAAAAAGGCGTAAGAGCGGAGGCAGCGTGGAGAAGTACCTGGGTGCCGAGAGGAGAGCGGGACAAAGAAACCTGCTGTTTACAGACTACTCGCGTCTCGTACGCACCAGCTGTAAATTACTACGTGTCCCAGCGTAATGCTAGCTTTTACTATTCCCAGGACGGGGCAGAGTATCTGAGATCTTTGGTATCATCGTACAAGAATGAGATACGCATGGAAATAGTAATCGCGAGTACGTCTGGACAGTAAATCAGGAAACGAATGAGACGCAGTCACATTCTGAAAATCGACGCTCTCACGGTGGTGTAAAGTAGGTATTTCTGCACTCTCCGAACTGATGTACATCCTGCGCAATAAATGGGAAGTGAAACATACGTTTGTTTTACTTCAACTTATTGTGTGCAGAATGTAAAAATAAAAACCAGTTCAGAGAATGCAGAAATAAAAACAGACCAATTACCAAATGCGATAATAGTAACCAACCGTTTGGTAATAATTGAAAATATATAAGAAAATATTTGGAAAAATAAAATTTAGTTAATTTTGGTTATATTGTCGAACATTTAATTAAAAATCTATCTCACTCAAGTTTTAGTAACTATCATCCAGGTGTAATAATCATTAGCAGACTTCTTTAGAGTGTATAGAGGAGCTATTCTCACGTCTCTCTTCGTTCCTTACGCGTGCCGAGCGAAAAGAGCGTGCGCGCGTGTCCAAACGTGCTCCGGCGTCGCTGATCATTCCTCCTTTATTCGCAATCAGCGAACGCACCGCGTGTCGAGGCTTCCATTCGACGAGACTACCGTTCATTACGCCTTCGTTACCGAGCCTCTTTCTTTTTCTCTAGCTGTCCGGCTTCAGTATTATGCGCCGGCTGCACCGATGACATTAATGATCCTCGCACAATAGGGAGTGTATGCCCCGCGCATTGTGCTGCTCTATGCGAAAGCCGACGCCGGACGCGCTCGCGGGATACTCGATAAGTGGCCGTTCACCAAGGAGATCGCCGATGCTCGTCCTTCCTTTTTGTCCCGCCTTCGCGTTTCTACGAGTCCCTCTTACAGCTTCATCGAATCTCGTTCTACCGCGCGCTGCCATGCCGTACCTATACTCTTCGTGTATCTCGCGAGAGATCCTCAGCAGTGTATGTTTAAGGACAGCACTCACCCACGCTCGTATCGAATCTCGTCGCATACGGAGCAGCGATACGAGCAATACTCTATTCAATACAATTTGCTTACGAAGGAAGAAAGCAAGAAAGGAAGAAACGCTGAAACGGACTTGAATCTTCCCCACGCAGCAAGAAAGAGTAAAAATATCGAAAAAAACGAGTGCACTAAAATAACTGCACTCAACATATATAGCCTACTTGTTCCGATTGTGAGAAAAATATCTGGTTGAAAATGAATCAGAAAATTCGGATTATATCAATCAGAATTCCAGTTATCTCAATTAGAATTCTAGTAGATTTAACTAACTAGAAAATTCTAATTCGTCCATTTCAATCATTTTCAACCAGAACCTAATTAATCCAACCAGATGTTTTTTTCTACGTACCGTTTGTTAAATCTTCACCGCATGCACTCATATAAATATTAAAAATGTCCCATATTATCAATTAATATTATAGAAATATTTTCTATTGTGAAACATTAGGTTTTAATGTCGGACTTACAATTAGCAAAATTGCAACACTTAGACTGTATAAAGTTCAATTATCTGATTCCCAAATGGATTAGAAATAATAACCGTGTTCGACCGGGCCAGTTCTGCTATATGTATAAGTTGTCGCGAATTATGTTTCAGTACGTAACAGTATGTTTCACAATCAGTAATATCAGTGTTAAGTTATGCAGACTACGTTTCTTCCTTTCGTATACATGGCATATAATAATTATCACAGACACCTTCTCAAATATAATTAGCGCATCCAGAGCGACGCGTCTTATGGCGAAGTGAATTTTACGAGCCGCGCAGTAGCATTTTTTTTCTGTTGACGTTAAATCAGTATAAAAGAGATAGAGAGAGAGAGAGAGAGAGAAAGGAAAAAAGGCGTCAACAACAGAGGGTGGCAAGAACGGGGCGGGAGAAGATTTCAAGAAGGGAATGATCCAAGAGATCGCGAGTTTTGTGGATCCGGATTCGACGGTCGAATTCGATCCTGCATCTCGCGTGTCGAGACACGCTTCGCTCAAGTGTGCTTCTCTTCTCTTCTCTTCTCTCTCTCTCTCTCTCTCTCTCTCTCTCTCTCTCAAGTCTCCCTCTTCGTTGGTCCAGTCTCTCTCTTCGCTCGTAATTTCTTTCTCTTATTCTCTCTGCGCGTCCCTCTTTCTCTCTCGCGTACACTCACCGTCGTTCTCGTTCACTCGACCAAAACAAAAGAAGCAACCGGACCAGCTCGGAACGAGAAGCGAAGGGCAGGCAAGAAGGAGAAGAGAGAAAAAGGAGGAACGAATCTCGGGGCAGAGAGAGAGAGAGAGAGAGAGAGAGAGAGAGAGAGAGAGAGAGAGAGAGAGAGAGGGACCGAGCATAGCCAGAGGGACAAAGAGAGAAGCGGTGGACGGAGGGAAGCAAGAGGAGGAGGAGGAGGACGCAGCAAGAGAAAAAGGAGAAGAAGCGTGAGGAGCAACAAAAGTAGCCGTGACGCGGTACAAAGCGAGCAAATCGAATGAGAGGGGCCCGAAGGGGAAAAAGACGAGGAGATCGGCCCTTCAGGGCAATGCAGAAGGGAATGGGGAGTGCACGAAGAAGAGGCAAGGATGGATGGAAGGAGGAGATGGCAGGGATGTAAGCTGGAGGCTGTCGTACCTCGTCGTACCACCGTCCGCCTTTCGTATTCACGACAAAGCTTCGCTTGACGGAAATTGACGGAAGGCTTGCACGCAAAAATCAATCGTACAGCAAAATGGAACTGGAAATAATAATCTTGGAGAAATCGACAGTTAGTTAAACGTTTTTCCAAAAGATATTCCAAAAATAGATTTTGTCAAACACTTTAATTTGTGATATTGTTGTTTCAGTGTTAATATAATTGCGTATCACACAAGTCCGATAGTAATCGGTGCGTAATTTATTTGTCTAAAAGATATATGTATTTATAATTTACATGCATCAAAAATAATATTGCTGAAATACATAAGAATGTAGCTTAATATAGAGATGTAAAAATAATTTTATTAGAATCATCAAAATAATTATGTAGAATTCAAACTGATTACTGGAATATTAAAACTCTTTGCAGCATCGTCATTAAACGTTTAAACGTTCTACATAATTAATATGATTGTTCAACAAAAGTATTTTCAAATCTATCTATTAAATTTTTAGATACTTGAGCAAAATCGTTCTTTTCGTACAGAAATATTATTAAGCACCAAGATGTAGACTTGACCGTATTGATACTTCTTATTTATTTGTGTTATAAAAAATACTTAATATTGTCTCTAAGAGATAAAATGCATACATTCTAAAATTTGTGATACTGTTAGACGTAATTCACAAATATTGATATTTGTTTATGATATCTTACGATGTCGCTTCTCATGTTGTGCTGTCTGTTTGCGGTTTACGCTCGGTACAAAGACTTCCTGCGCGAACGTTACGTTCGTCATTGAGTAGCTTCGAGGAATTCTTGATGAATCTTCGTGCCGCTGCTGCAGCGAACAAGTTCAAACGTGTCTTTCGAAAAAGAGGAGAACGCGTTTCGCAACAAAGATGTCCCGATCGGAAGTAAAAGAACAGTCGCGTAATTGATTTCACAGAACTTGAATCTGGGTTAAATTCGCGAGGCCGAGGAACGACATGTTTATATTTCGACGAGTTTCACACGAGAATCGACACATATCCCATTTGAGCAGCATTTTTTTATTGGTACGGTAATGTAAAAAATTATGTATTTAATCATTCGAAGCTGACGCTAAAATCTATAACACGGTTACTAATGCTGGGACTATAAGACCCATTTAATTTATGTTAATCAAAAGCATTAATTAATTTCAAAAACCTAAAATGACTCATATACATAAAAAAGAAAGAATATTAAGTATATTTTAATATGAATAATCCGAATTTGCAAATGTAACAAAGGACATTAAATTGTTTGACATTTTTGACAAAGAGTTACATTTGAGAGAGAGAGAGTGGATGTCCATTGTCCAATAAATCCACCGTCAATTCCGGTTAATATAAAAATTCTTACATTACCTGAATAAAGTGCAAGTGATAATAAATCACATAAGCAGTTAAAAGTGAGTTTTCCGTAAAATAAAAAATAATAGCCTGCAGAGAGAAAGAGAAAGAGAGAGAGAGAGAATCTAATTGATGACTCTTCTTCCCTCTAGAAAGGCGAACACGTATTAATCACAGCTTGCATCCGTCATTTGCGCTTCCGCTTATTACTGCTGCCGCTGTGGTAGCTTCTGTAACACGATGGATCGCATCCGTAGAATGTTCTCCATATTTGATTCCTTCACCTTTTATTTTTTATCCACCCTGGCAGTTACTGCCATCAATAATTACAGAGAAGGTTTTGCTTCATATATAAAGATCAAAACAATTTATTTAAAGTTCATATCAAATAGTCATTTAAATAAAACAATTTACACTGTTTACATATTTTACTTATAATAATGAGATTTGAAAGAGATATTTTATCTCTATTGTTACATTTCATGAATGTAACGGAATTATTATAATATAACGATAGACAAAGAGATGGTAATATAAGACAACGAAGGCAGCGATCTTTGCACATCGTAGGTCGGTACGTCCCTGGACCAGCGAAGAGCAGGAGAGAAGTAAAGAAGAGGGAAGAAGAGGGGACGAGAAAAAAGCAGAACTGGCAAAAGAGGCAAAACTGCGCACGTTGCATTACTCTCTTTCTCTCGCTCGTCGTGTCTTATCCTCGTCCATTCTACTCCCCTCATCGTATGCTGTGCTTTGGCGTCGTCTCTATACTGAGTCTTATTCTCGGTCTTATCCTCGTCCATTCTACTCCCCTCATCGTATGCTGTGCTTTGGCGTCGTCTCTATACTGCACGATGTAGTAATGTACAGTATGGCAAGACATAGTACGATAACGCGCGTGACTACTTTCCTCCTCTGCATTAGTGTACGAGTATAAACTCGTAACAACAGGTCGAAGCACTTTGCAGCATCTTCCCGGAACTTGGATTTCTCACGATCCTACTACAAAACTCGTCATGCTCTTCCCCACTCGACCAAGTCTATGTTTAGTATTTCGTGTGACAAAACGTCATTGTTTCCGCTTTTTTCACGGAACGAACGGTTTTGTTAAAGCTTTGTCAAAAATTTAGCTATATA